AGGCGTGGAGTTTTGTGTTCGGCAACAAAAAAGAACCGCCACCCTTGGAAAGGAGACCCTCAAAAAAGGAAAAAAATACACATCTGCTCCAAAGAGATTGGTGAGAGTTAAAGGTCGAACTAAATACAGCGGACACTTTCAGATTCGGGCAAGAAACTTGGCGGGACGGCCGTTTCTTTGTCGCTGTTTCTAGTCTTTCCCTTTTGAAGGTGGGGACACCCATAGTATCAAAACGGGGACTCTTTGAAGGTCGGAGAAGGTGCAAGTCGCTTCCCAGAGGTGGCTTGGCCTGTTAGGGAACCCCCTGTTGGCTTTGTGTTGGAGAAAGCCAAAAGAACCAAGAAACTTGAAACCTCCCTTAGCTTGAGACAAACCCTGGTGTCTCATGCCAAACATGCCAGACAGCAGACCGATGCGGAGCTGAGAAGTTTCACGTAGAGCCGTGAAGTGGTTTGGTGGCTTGGTTTCCCTTCCGCCTGCGCCGCTTGACACCTCGATCCGCGTTGGAGGCATAGGAACCTTCATTGGGGGTCCCAATCGAAACCGACAAACTCAGGGGGATACGGGGTGTGTCTTAAAGTGGGGAGCCAAAGTGGCTGGCTTCCTCTTGGTGTCCGTTAAAAACTCACCCAAAAAGGCGACCATCAAAGAGACACACCATATACCCAAACCATCCGACTGTCCGCAGCGGCCACGCCCTTTTCTCTGGTTGGGCTTTCCTCCGTCAATTCTCCTGCGATCCTGGAGTTTTGCTCTGAAATGAGGTCTCAAAATTCTAGGGGTTGGTTCCAATTCCATTCTTTCCAGCCCTCGTTCTTTTCAAAAACCGATCGCCATTTCTTCGGGGTTTTCAAGGTGGCTTTCTAGAAAGATCCGGATCGCTGGGTTCAGAATGGAAATGGAAGTTACCCCTAGAAAAATGGGGACACCCTATGCCTGGTGATCGTGTTTGGTTCCCTAAGCCCGGCAACACAAAATCGCCCAGTTGGTAGGAAATGAATGGCAACTCTTCTTGGGGAAGAGTCCAGTGGGAAACCGAACTAGCAAAAGGGGCGCCCAATTGTTGGGCTGATTCCATTTTTGGAGTTGACGATTATTTGGGGGGGGGGGGGGAACATCTTTTAAGCATTGCTGAAGGTGATGGTCAAAAAAAAAGGGTGGAACCCACTGGCTCTGTGACAGAATATGGAGGCCTAATTTCAGTGTGTGTCCCCAAACTTCCATTTCAGCCAACCTCGAAACGGAGTCCTGACAGAAAGCCATCCATTTGAACCCTCACGTGGTTGCGGTTGACCCCTCTGCAAATAGTTGAAAACTTTTTGTGGGTCCAATTCGGAATATCCTCGGTTCCCGAAAAGTCAAAGTCCAAAGATTCAACCAAATAGCCACAACTTCGATCTGCTTAAGCCGCCTGAAAACATGATAAAATATGCCCAGTAGTGACATCGATTTCCTTCAAAACCAACAAGGGGCAATACAATAAAACCAAAGTCACTTCAGCAGCTGGAAGGTGAAGCTAAAAATACATGTCACACCCTCTGGATCCCCCACAAACCAGGTCCAAAGATTCAACAAAAATAGCCCAAAAAGCTAAACAACTTGGTTTCCCATTGGAAACACCTGCCCTTGCCCAAAAAAAACGGCCGCCTTTGGTCTTCTGCCAGGAGATCTGGAGCTTCGGCCCCAGCATCACCCGCAGCCAGATGCGGTAGTCCTCCTGGAACTCCCCTGCGAGCGATCGATCGGGGGGAATAGGACGAACCACCGAAAAGGACGCAAATGCCCTTTGTGGATATTTCCATAGGGAAAAAAGGGGGGCTCCGATTTGTTGGTGGGAAAAAAGGGGCGTCCGATTTGTTTCTGGGAAAAAAGGGCTCCCGATTTTTTGTGGGGAAAAATGGTTGATGTGGGAAGGGAGCAAAAATTCTCAAATTTTAGCAGTTAGGTGGGGATGTCCCATGAAACCACAATAAGCAAAAAATGTAAAATGTGTCCAAACAACAACCATGATAATATGCTCAGTGGATGTCCATGGGAAGAAGAAAAAAAAGCTGCTCCGTTTTCGGATCAGCCAAAAAAGCGACGAACTTCAATTCGTGGAACCCCCCACCTAAAAGTCGAAGAGTCGAAGAAAAACAAATGCTAAGTTCGGATGTCTGGGCCACCAGGCACCAAAAGGGCTCCCCCGATTTTTTGGGTGGGAGGGGGGCTGAAAGGAGTCGGAACCCTTGCCCAAACAAGGAGAAAAGGGCACCACTGAGGTCGCAAAGTGAAGAATCCGCTTCTTTTCAAGGTCTGGCCTTTGGGTGACTAGCTCCCTCCCCCTTTCACCTCTTTCAGCTACCTTGATATCTAAAAGGGAAACGGCGACCCCTTGCCTCCAGGGTTCAATGTTGAACCAAACGTCCAAAACCGGCGTTGCTCGGGTCTGGTCTCTGGCTCCAAAAAGCAGGTTGGCGGGAAAAACCAAACCAGGCTCAAACAAAAAACGAAACCAGCCACCCCCCCCCCCCTGCCCCGAGACCCGTTAATGGTTTGCTTCCATCTCCGGTACGGCTCGAAAGCACTCACTGCTCCCCACCGCTTTCGCGCCTGAAGAGCCTCCGTTCTGGACTCTGAACCTAGCCGTGCGCTTCCTGGCATCGTAGCTGCCGTCCGCCAAAAGCTTGCTCTCGATCAGACCTGTGAAGCGGTCGGCTCCCTTGACTCGGGTCACCTTCGAACCGGCCACAAATCCTCATTGGGGACCTCCTCTTAAAACACCCCTTTTTGGGTTCGGAAAACAAACTTCCGGGGGGTACAAATTGCATCACCCGGGCTTCACTCGGAAAAGACGGCAAGTATGGAAGATGATGTTGCGGCCAGCTGAAGAAGACAATTACCTGTCGGTCAAAACATGTTTGTGTGCTCAGCTCCGCGACATGGTGCCCATGAGGCGAGCACCGAACGCCCACCCTTCCTTTGTGCGGCCTCCCAGGAAGGCGTTCACCATGAGCGAGGCGTCCTCCCCGTGGGGCGCCGTCTGCAAATCCTCCACCAGCGCCGTGACGGCGCCCGCGGTGTCCGTCTTGGTGCTCCGCCGGAGGGTAAAGCTGAGCCCGGACAGGGCAAACCTGGCCAACCCCAAAGGCAGAAGCTGGGCCGCCGGAGTTCCCGACGTGGGCTGGAGCACTACTTGATCGCAGGAGACTCCCTGGGTATCACAGAAACTGGCAACCTAAAATCTAGTTCTCCACGATCAGCTGTACAAAGTCAAAGTGGGTGAATTTCTGATGGTACCCTATGGCTCAGGCATGGCTTCAATTTGGCTTCCTGGGGGAGGGGGGGTCTTTTAGGGCACCCTTTTTGTCTTCAAGAGCAGCCACCGAGAAACCGCCGATGCTCCAACTTTCATCCAAGAAACAGAGCGCAGAGCAGCGAAGCGAGTCTTGGGGAGCGCAACCGCATGGCTCCGACAAGTAAGTTTGAGCGATGAATTGTTCAAATGGCCATGGTCCAATGATGTCACTCTCTCTGTGAGCTCTGTGTGTTCTCGAACTCCTTGACCTGCTTGGGGGGGGGGGCACAGGCGGGGTCTACGATCACATCTGGGATGTGCATCCGTAGCAGAACATGGGGTATGATATATGACGTCTGTATCTATAATATGTTGTCATAGGTGTTTTTTTTGTGTCCATCTTGCTTGTTCCTCTCGGCACCTTCCAAAAGCCGCGACAGCAGTTGCATGCGGCCAGGCACGCGAGCCCCACTTGCAGTCCATGGCGCGAAGAGCACCGCGCGCTTCGCGCAGCGAGGCTCAGTTTCCATGCCGAACGCAGCGAGGTTCAGCCCCACCTTCAACTGGTTACAACCTCTCCATGCCTTTTCAGTTTCTCTCTGAGAAAGCTCCGATGAAATGCTGGTGTGTGTGTGTGTGTGTGTTTTGTCCCAAGGAGTGAAAAAACCGCAAGCTGTGCAGTATGCACAATTACTCACATCCCTTGCTGATGCGGTGCATCTTCAGGACCCACCGTGCTTGGTGAGAAACTCTCGAGAGAGCAAGGAGGTTCAATAGTTGCGTTGCGAGTCAAGAGGCTTAGATCCCTCGCTTGCGCCATCAGAATCTCCAGCCCCCCGAAGCAGGCAACAAACATCTCGCAGGGTTTTTGATTTTGTTTGGGGCCTGGGAATCAAAATCTCCCAACAAAATGGTGACCATCCAGAAAATCTCAGTCACCCAGAAACATGGGAATCAACATCTCAGTTGCCCGACAAAAAACAACAACAACAACATCTCAGTTGCCAGAAGAAACACCAAAAAAAAGACCCAGAAACAAATGGTGATCGTCTTTAACCTTGACGAAGGAACCAGAAACCGTCTCAGGTCCGTTCGCTGTCTGAGGCACCTGCTTGAATCTCAGCTTCCCAGTTGCATCAGTGAACAAATCGGTAAGGAAGATGACCAAATCAATCTGAAGGGAGAGGTTCCAAGAACACACATGGTTGATATGAAACATACTGGTGTTTAGTATGGGAGAGTTTCCGCGGATTCCATATGATTGCTGTTAAGTTAAAGCCCTTGTTTGGAAACGGCCGCTTTGAACGGTTTGGGTTCAGAAAGGGGGGGTGACATCAACATGTAACACGATTCTGCCGGATCCAATAAGGAGCTTCCTCGACGTGCAGACTCTTCTTCTTTCATCAAAGGAACTTTGAAACCGTGAAACCGTTTGTTCAACCCAAAGCCTCCCCACGAAAAACACAACGGCTTCCGCCAAGGTCAACTAAAATTTGTTGGACATGTCTCGCAACATGGAGCCATCTGGTGACACACCACTTTCCTCACGGCACTCTCCAAGTTGCGTATGTGTGGGAGGTCGTCGAAACAGCGGTCTAGATTCATGCTCCAAGACAGGTGGGATTTTTGTTGTTCCAACTCTGATTGGGTACATATTTTCCTTCTTTTGGGGGTGACTGGCAACATGGGCCGGAAGGTGCCCATCGGGAGCCGGGGCTCCCGCCCACGTTGCACGCCGCCGCGGGCGCGCCGAAGTCAAAGTCGCCGCCGGAAGGCGCGCCTCGCCGGAAGGCGCTAGCCGGAAGTGGACGGCCGGCCGGATTGCCGTCTTCCAACGTGCACGGAGAAAGGGAAGCATCGCGGCAAAGTGGGGGAAACCCACTTTTTCTTTGCAGGGCGTCACCATCTCATACGCACCCAACTGGATCCGAATCAAAGACTGCAATGCATGGAGTCTTTCTGCAAGCGTATGAAGAAATCAGAAGGGCGGTTTCACCCAGTTCTGGTTACGACTGCACCCTAACCGGGTTTGGATTCTTTTAAAGAGCACAGCCAGGTCTCTGGAGAACTTCAGAGGGAACTCTGAGCGAACAATGCTTTAAATCCACAAGACTCCATCAACTGTGCAGGCCAAAGAAATCCCGGACACCCGAACAACAAACACAGTGGGAAACCGAACCCGCCAAATCCCGGCGGCCAGATCCCGCCTGCATCCATGTCAACGTCGGCGACCTAACGGAGCCGAGGGGCCACCGAGAGTTGACAAACTGACGACCCTTGGAAGCGACAGGTAGAAAACCCAAAGACGTCCATTTGCTTGCTCGTCCCCTGGAAAAAATATACATATGTCCTAGTACCTTTGAAACCAGGGGAAAACAAAAAAATACATAGTCTAAAGCAAAAGGAAGAAGATCAAGGCTAGCCGCCCCTTCAGATCACTCTGGCTCGCGTGGCTCACGCAGCAACCTGGCCACCAGACAGACTGGGCGGGGCGCTGAAATTTTGAAGCCTCCAAAATCCAGGAAGCCGTCCTGCGGCCAAAGGCGGCGGGAGCCACGGGCTGGCTGGAATGCTTGGGGTCCGGAGGCCGTCCTATCAAGAAAATCTGACGCCTTGATGGGAGGAGCTCAGATGCTGTTTCACATTTGTCCAGCAGCACGACACTGTGCTGGACGTGGGTCAATTGATGCCAGAGGCCCCTTGGCAAATATTCCTTCTAGGGACACCAAAGAATTCATCGAAAAACCAAACTTACTCCTTCGGCAACAACCCCTTCAAGGCCGTCTGGATCTTGCCAGAATCGTACTGCAAATTCACTCAAATCCACTTAGGCAAGCTGCCTGCCACTCTGCCCACCGCCTGCCACTACCCTCCGCCTGTCCACGAGCCGCCCGCTGCCGCGTGCCGCCCACCCGCCGCCCGCCGCCCGCCGCCCGCCGCCGCCGCCGCCACCCGCCGCCCGCCCCGCCGCCCGCCCCGCCGCCCGCCGCCCGCCGCCCGCCGCCCGCCGCCGCGCGCCCGCCGCCGCGCTGCCCGCGGCCGCCCGCCGCCCGCCGCCGCCCGACCGCCCGCCGCCCGCCGCCGCGCCGCGCGCCGCGACCGCCGCGGCCCGCCGCCCACCGTTCGCGCTGCACCGCCCGCCGCCCGCCGCGCGCCTCCCGCCGCCCGCCGCCCGCCGCCGCCGCCGCCGCCTGCGGACTGCACCGTCCACGCTGCCGCCTGCACCGCCCACGGCCTGCCGCACCGCCCACCGCCCGGCGCGCGCGCCCGCCTTTGCCCGTTGCCCGCCGCCCGCCGCCCGCCGACTGAACTGCCCTTGCCGCCGCCCGCCTGCCGCGCCGCCCACCGCGCCGCCCGCCGCCCGCCGCCCGCCGTGGAAGCCACCGCTGCTGCATGACGTGCATGCTGGGTCGTTTCCTCCTCTAAGTTTGTTTTGACAATTCCCCAGCCAAAGTATCGGAGGGCTCCACAAATGGGAACATGTCAAGCAACCAAAAGCAACAGCCCTCTTTGCTTCCACCTGCTTAGAACCAAACGTGAAGCGCAAAGTCAAAAGGGTAGGCCTTGTACGACCAACATCTCGTCAGCCTGTAGGTGGCGAAAACACGGTTCTTCGTAGGTCCACCTGGTTGCAGCTCTCTCCCCAACTCCTGCACGGATGTTCCACGCTGCTTCACCTCAGCGACAGGGCGCTTGGGTTTCTTTAGGATAAATTCCAGGTGGCAACAGGGCCAAGATCTACCTTCGCCACGTTTCTGGTCTTCTTGGAGAGCCGGGGGGAGGAGGGGTGGTACTGGAAACGCGGGGGTGCCAAAAGTGGCCCACGATAGCCAGAATCTATGTCCAGGAGCTGCTCCTGATACAGAAGTCCTCATTTGGCAGAGCTTGGCAAATGCAGGTCGGTGGAAAACGGGCAGAGGATGGTGCTTTCCCTTCAGCGGGAACTCAGCTTTTTCCCCAAGTAATCAGCAGACAACTCAGCAAAAGATCACTGGACCACCGGATCCATGCATGGCTCACCGGGTTTTTCGGGACCTTGCGGAGCCCAAAAAAAAAAGGACGCCGACGGCCCTTGCTACCAGGCTTCTTGGAGACGTTAGCCTGAGGGTTGTTGTATTACTTTCTGGGATTAGGCCCACTGGGAAATGACCCCATTTAGGCCTGTTTCCGGGATAAAAGCAATGGCATTTGCGGCCATTTTGGGCCAATCATTTCCCCGGGAGCAACCCTTAAAGGTAGGGGGTGAACCGCCCCACGCCAACCTCCAGAGCCAAGGCTTGCTTTACATCTGCATCCCCATACAGGTTTGTTTCGGCCTATGGAATTCCCTATGTGCATCCCGCGTTCTTTTGGGCGGTCCTGTGGTCCTACCAACGTCTTTCTTGGGCAAGCCACCCTACTGGTCCTACGTTGATTTGCCCTGGCAAATGGCTGGCCTGTCTTGGAGACACACCAAACCATCAGGCCCTGAGGTGTCCATATACAGTGCTATATAACCACCACATATATATATATATATATACATACATATATATATATATATATATATGTGTATATTTTATATTATATATTCATCTATGTATAGTGGCCTCGCGCCATGCGACGGGACCAAGATCTACCAATGTGGCCACTCATTCCTAGATTTGGATCACCCATTTTGTATTTTCGCTTCCCCGCCGTTTCAAGCGATGCAGGTCATGGACAATTCCGCTCGCGTGGAGGGGGTTCCATCATCTGAGCCGAACCGCCTGGATGTGCCACCTGATGTTCTCCTGCAGACTAGCAGGGCAACCGGCGTTCCTCTTGAAACTTCAATATCCTTTGGATGCCCATTGGTGAGCGTAATAGAAATATTATGCCCTTCCCCCCCCCCAACCTGCTTCTTAAGCACAGTGGAATCACATTCAATCATGTCCCCCTGTAGCCATTTCGCCCCTGGCAATATGCTTGCTCCGCCCAGATCTCGCTATCTTCACCCCAACACGCCTTCTGAATCAACCCTTCAAAATTCCGGAAATACCCTCAAGGTCTGATTCAGGCCCGGGCCCATGCAAAGCCACCCTGGCCGAAGGCTGCCTTGAGCTCCTGCCAGCCAGCTCACTGGGCTGCCCGATTTCTGATCCCCCGCTAAAAGTGACTCTAACTTTTCGTGGGTGAAATTCGGAAGCGACCACTAAACACTGGAAAAAATGATGGAAAAAAGCCGCCAAGGACAAGCAAACAACAAGGCGAGAAAGGGTGACTCTGCAAGCCGAACTGGGTTGTTCCAAGTGGTGCGATCTCCCATCCAATTTTTCCCCCAGTGAGGTACCTGAGCAACGCAGAATACACGTGTAGCGGATTGGCCGCATCGTGAAAAGACCCCTCTGAGCATCACCCAAAAAAGATCAAAGGAATTTGTTTTTTTGTGAACATGCAGCCACTTCTAACCCTGCGAACTTGCTTTCTGGGGGGTATGGTCAGTTTGTTGAAACCTCGGGTAAAGCGTCAAATCATCAAAATGGAGCGTTGGCCAATCCCAATCCATAGTCCCTGCAGGGAAGCCAATCCCCAAAGGGGGCGGGCTCCTTGCGCAACTAAGGATCTTCCGGATTGACTTCCCCGACGTGTCTGGCACCTCCAATCCTCACGCAACCCGCCCATAAAGTTGGCCCCGGGGATTGGATTTGGAGATCGCACCCATTTGGAACAGCTCGCCTTGTTCTCAGAGCTGCTGGTCTTAGTTGCTTGAAATTTCGGATCAAACGTCAAATCATCAAAATGGACGGCTCGCCAATCCTAATCCACAGCCCCTACAGGGAAGCTGATCCTTGAAAGGGGCCTGGTCTTAGTCGGCTGAACCCCTCGGGCCCAACGACGAAAGGTCCCCCGATCGTCCGCGCCTCGCGGGCCTCAGAGCCCAGCTCGAAGGCCTCCAGCTGCAGCAAGTGCCTGGCTCGAGCCGGCGAGCCGGCGACTGGACGAGTGGGGAAGAAAATCGTGGCGTTGGATGGATGCCAGGCCTACCAGTTCCATTGGACACATCGAAGATTTGGGGGGGAGGAAGCAGACGAAGAAAGCCCCATGGCTCTGAGGAAGCGTTCCCTGGGACCTTGGAATGCTTTCGCAGGGTGCGATCCTTCTGGGAGTCCCCAGCCTCTCCTGAAGTTGCGGAAGAAAAAACTGAATCTTCCACTAGCCACAAGGCTGATCTCCTTCTCCTGTTTCTTTCTCTCGTTGCTTTCTCGTGTCCCTTTCGTCGGCTCCGCCCTCGTCGACCGCGTCGACCGTCGACCGTCGACTGCGTCGAGCGCGCCTCAGGATCGCCCGCTGGGCCTTCGAAAGGCCTCCAGCGTTCGCGTCGTCCTCCTCCACCGCTGAGAGGCACTGGGTGTCCACCAGCTGGTTGCCCAAGCCCAGGCTATCCTCACTGGGCGCATTCCACTTTTGGACCAATGACCCCGGAGTAATCAACCCTTAATTGTTTATTAGTATATGGGGGTGCTCCCCTCCAAAAGTGATATAAATCCCCACTAAAACCAAAAACACCCCCATATTCATAAACAAGGGTTTATTGATCCGGGGTCAACATTACGCTGAGGTAGACTTAAACTTAGGGGGGTGGATACCTGCCTGGGTTTAAGTCTACCTTGGGGTAGTCAAAAAGTGACTCACTTCCTCGGAGGCTTTGCCAAAAGAAAGTCCAAACTAAGGCCTACTCAGGGAGCGAAGGAATAAACCTGTGGGACTTCCTTGGCGCTTTCGCTCATTCTCTTCTGATTAGCTAGTGGTCACAGGGGGCGACCACCTCGCCCGTGACCCTAATTGAGCGACGTGACAAGTGCCGAGTGGAAGGCGAGGAAGCCAAACAGGTCAGAGCCAAGATTTGGAGGTTGATCAAAAAGGTCCTGTACATGGGATGACCATTGGGGAAACCCATCAAAAAGCTGATATGTCCCACTGGATGGTCATTTGATCAACTGGTTTTGGCCGTGATTGGTTGCCTTGGGTTGGTTATTGAATCCCACTGATTCCCAGCTCTTGTTGGTCTTGCCTTTGGTGTCACAATGTCTCCACTTGTGTGTCCGGGCTGGTCTTGGCCTTGATTGGCTGCCTTGGACTAGAAAAATTGAACCCACACTTCGGACTGAGCATCCACCAGCGTCATGCACCCCCCGTGCAGGTACATCTCCACCGCCGAAGCCAGGCCCGAATCTTTGACGCTGTTCCGCACGAACGCGGACCAAGCCAAGACCTCTCGAAGCGGAAAATCACATCCCCGGACCAGTTGCCCAGTGCATTTCGCGTTGGAAAGCCTGTTCGAAGGTTTCGGTCAAACCCGAGAAAAGAACACGAAGCCGAAGAGTTTGCGGGCAAGTACGTGCTGTGGATGGACGAAATCCTGCACCACTTGGAAACAATGGTTGAAACCATTGTTTGTTGGTATTTGCAGGGGAATCGAATCATTCCAGGGTTTCTTGGATGGTGCGAAATGGATTTCGTCCATCCACAGTACCATACTTGCGGGGCTTCAGGAAGGCTTGTCACACCCTCTGACCTTATTCGCTGCCCAAAGTGGAAGCCTCGTCATGCGGGAGATTGTGGGCACCTCTTCTTTTAGGGACCCCCCCCCTTCCCCCCCAAAAAATCAAAACATGTCTCGCGCTTTCCCTTGCGGCTTCCCTTTCAAAGGGTTCTCAACAAGCAACTCCCAAGGCACACAGTGCGGTTCTTTTTCTGGGGGCGAGATCCGCTCCCCGGGCGCTGTCGAAAATCAGCCCATGTCCCCTTGCCTCTGGCGGGAGCAGAAAAGAGCACACCAACTTAACAAGGGCCCCTTTTTGGAACCACCCATTTCTTTGGGCGCCTTCAGGGCACCCTGCCTTCGGGGGATAGGAAACAAGTCCACCTAGAAGTCCCAAACAGAAGACCCTGAAAAGCAGTACCCTCAGACGATCCCATGGAGCTTTCGTCCCCTAAGACTTGGTTCCAGGCCTTCTGGAAGCTTCCGGAACCCGGAAGCTTCTGAGAGAGCTTCAACATAGGCCTTTTGGTCAAATAGGGCCTTTTGGTCAAATAGATGGGATTCCCTGGTAAATGGGGAACAAACCCCCATCTAAACCAGGGCCCTCTACTTTTTTTTAAGCAAACCAACCAAAAAGGACACCTATGAGCTTCAATCGGCCCGAAAGCTGTCCCGCGGTCACAGCTCCTGCCTCCCGGATGCTCAGGGGGTGCAGCACCCGCTCATTGAACCAGGTGACGCAACTCAGCATGGGCCGGGCCAGCTGTCGGGCCAGGCGATCGCTGGGCAGCTGGCTGCTGACCAACTGCTCTGCCTCAAGGATGTTGCACCAACAAAATTCGGATGCATTGATCCAAAAGGGTGGACCTCTGGGTTCATGTCTACCCGTATTCTTTTGGAAGGCAGTCCTTGCATTTCACTTGTCCTAAAAAAAAGACATAAGCACAAGATGCGCTGGTTGATCAAGATTCCGTGAAAGGCTGGTGAAAGTCATCTTTTTAGTGGGGTTCCCTAATGGGCACCCCATGTAAAGGATCAACCCCCGCTTGTTGATCCTTTGTTGGACATCTGGGTTCATACTGTGGATGGACAAGATCCATTTCGCACCACCTAAGGAACCCTGGTTTCTGATGATTCCCCTGTAACTACCACAAATCATGGTTTCTCATGGTTCAAAGTGGTGCAGGAGTTCGTCCACCCACCGTATCTACCAGCTTTATTAGGAAGGTACTCCTTGCTTTAATAAAATGCAGATGGATTCGGAGCAAAGTACTGCTTGCAAACCGCAAATGATGCATCCCCGAGGAACGGGCAGGGCGCTCTTCTACAAATTGAGCAAAGCCTTACATGTGCCCCGCTGAATCACTGGTTTTAGCACCCACATCCCCACAAGTACTGCGGCCCTGACTCTCGTCTTGGAAGAAAGCAATAAATATGGAGGGTCTGGAGCAATTTGCACAAAAGTCTACCCTCCCAATGGGTTTGTTTCCCCCACCCCGGCAAGCGAGCGACCCCAAGCAGTTGCAAGGGAAACATGGTAGGGTTTGTCCCATCCAGCTGCCAAGAGCCGGCAAAAACCCGCAAAAACCCGCAAAAGGCCGCAAAAGCCCAAAACCCTGCAGAGAAGGGGCAAAAACCAAACGAAGAAAGAAAGAAAGAAAGAAAGAAAGAAAGAAAGAAAGAAAGAAAGAAAGAAAGAAAGAGAGACAGAGAGAAAGAAAGAGAGAGAGAGAGAGAAAGAAAGAGAGAGAGAGAGAGAGAGAGAGAGAGAGAGAGAGAGAGAGAAGAAGAAAAAAAGAAAACGCAAAACAAAAACGCGGCCCTCCATTCTCCACCCCCCTTTCCCTTGTTTTTGTTGGTTTGTTGGTGCCTCTCTGGTGGCGAAGTCGATGGGCTCCACCCAGATCTCCGTGAAGCGGTTCCGCAGCGCCGGGGAGAGCTCCCGCTTCCCGAAGTCTCCCCCGGGGTTCATGGTGGCGAAGAGCCGGAAGCTGCTGAGGGCCTGGCTCGGGGGTGGGGGGGGTTATGGGGAGGGGCGTTGCGTGGGGGGGGGGGGGGTTATGGGGGGGCCGGGGGGCGGCCTGGGGGTCCTTGGGAGGGGCTGCAAAGGGGCCATGGGTCGAATTGGCCAAGTTACATGGGTGGGCGGAATGATGGATGGAATTCGGAGATTGATGGTTCAAGATATGGCAGCCGACTGAGGGGGCCATGGGTCGAAGAAAAGGCGAGCGGAGTCAATCACGCGGGCCAAGCGTTCCATGGGGCCTAGGTCCTCCAGATTAGGGAGGTGAGAATAAGGGTACCCTTTTTTCTGCATTTTGGCAGGGGGGGCGAGCGGATTCGCGCGGGCCAAGCATTCCATAGGGTGTTCGGATATGGAAACTGAATGGAGGGGTCCTGGTTTGGGTCGAATAGGCCAAGCTCCATACTGTGGATGGACGGAATCCCTTCGCACCACCTTGAAACCATGGTTGAAACCAAAACGTTTCTTGGTATTTACGTTGGGGATTCATCCGAAGCCAGGGTTTCGTAGGTTCCATGTTGGATGCGAGGGTCTGCCTGAGCTCTAGGGCCTCAATGGCAGCTTTCCCGCCAAAATGTACACCACACGGGGAAAAAAAAAGAAGCTAACCCGAACTTCAATCCCAAACTCGGTTGCTTTAACTGTTAGTGGTTTAATGGAAAACCCATTAGTTGGCAAGAAGTAAAAGTCCTAACATCCAAGAAAAATGCACCTCTGAAAAGGAATGTGGTCAAAAAATATGGACCCTCTTTGGGACCTAGTGCCGCCGGTACGTGCCGCCAATTTTCAAGAAACACAACCCCACCCCCGAGAAGAAAAAAAACTCGTAAAACACAACCCAACCCCCGAGGAGAAAAACTTCTCATAAAAACCATCCAACCACGAGAAGAAGAAGAAAAACGTTCGCCTGCACCACCTCCAGGTCCGACCCTGTGAGCGGCTTTTCTGCCAGCAGCAGAAAGTGCTCGGGCTCCAGCACGGAGTTCAGCCGCTCCAGCACCGAGTCCTGTCTGCGCCCTTAGATCCCCTGCTAAAAGTGACTGAATTTTAGTGGGTTAAATGGACACCAAACCCACTAAACCACCTAAAAAGCTGAAAAGCTAAGGGGATGGCTGGGAGTCCTCTGTGGATTGCTCACTTTCTTGAGTAATTAAAATTGGGCGTTCGCCCGTCCCCTAAAAAGTTGCCGGCGCCCTCCAAACGCAAAAGGTCGAGAGGGTATTCCTGCACAGTTGATCTGGACCCCAGCGGAAACTTCTTCGGGGGGATCCCTTCTAGAGGGTTTGTAGGGAGTGGCTCACATCTGCTTTGCACCATTCCCAGCGTTGCCGAGACCTCGCAGGGACCTCAGTCCAATATCGTTGCGAGTCAATCGAAACCCGGCAACCATGCAACCACAACTTGAGGTTGTCGGCTATTATCCCAAAACAAAACCGGTCGCGCATGGGAGCATCATTTCTTTCGAAGGAGCCCCTGGGTTGGCTTACAGAAACAAAACCAAAAGGACAACTACCATTTCAAAACCCCCTAGAAAAGCCACCTTCGCTTCCTTCGTATCCCCTTCCCAAGGAAACAAAAATGACAGATCAAAGGCCAAAGGCCTCTGAGTGTATCGAAGGAACACGCACCAGGATTGAAAACGCCCATGTCCACTTTGCATGTCCAAACTATGAACCCGCAGGACCCTCTTTCAGATAGGTTTGCCTTTGGAAGGGTCGCTGTTCGTCCAGAACAATGACCATTTTGTCCGGGTGTGCGTTCAAACAGAGGACCCCATCCTCAACAAAAAAGAAAGCAGGGCTGGCTGCAGATCCCCTGCTAAAAGCGACTAACTCTCAGTGGCATAAATTCGGACACCCAACCACTAAACCGAATAAAACCGCTAAAAATCTCAGGAATCGACGATTCGCTGGTTGAACCGCCAAGAGAACATCCTCTACGCTTCTTTTTTTTGCTCTCCCTGCCCCTCCCCCCTCAAAACAAGAAGTAAATGTGCGGTTCTGTTTGCGCTCTCCCTTTACTCCCCAAGCCCAAGACGGGGCCAAGACGGGTCCCCGAGAGAAAACGGAAAAGAAAAGAAAACACAGAAAAGAAAGAGAAAGAAAAGAAAAGAAAAGAAAGAACCGGAAAAAAAAAAAGAAAAAAAAAAAAAGATAAAAGAACATATAAAAGGAAAAAGAACAAGAAGAGCCAAAAAAACCGGGGCGCGCCAAAAAAAAGGCACCACCGCCTTTCCCCCGCCGCCCCTTGCCTCCGCCAAGGAGATCTCGTCCACCAGGAAAGCGCCGCCGCAGCGCATGGCCTCCACCAGCGCGCCGTCGGCCCACTCGAAGATCCGCTCGTAGTCCCCGCAGCAGCCCAGCAGCTGCCGCCCCATTGCCATCCAGCCGCCCTCCTGGCGGGGGAGTGCCGGGCAGGAAGGAAAAACGGGGGGAGAACTAACTGGCGGGTTTGGATTTTTGTGGCAGAAAACAGGGGGAGAACTGGAAACGGGCGGGGTTGGATGGATTGACGACGGGCGTTTGGGGTGTACAGCTCGGGGAACAAAAAGTGCACCCCAGAAACCTTGCCCCCATGGAGAGTAAACCACAAATCAGCTTCCCTCTAGTTGGTGCTTTGGTTTCGTAGGTTTGGTGGTTAAGGAGGGGTGTCCACCACAAATCCCCGTTCAGTTCAAATATCCAAATCCAAGCCACCAGTCTCTTGGTTTCACCAAAGCCCCGTCCTGGCGCCGGCGCTTGGACGGGGGGCCGGAATTTTCCTCTTTGGCCAAAGCCACGCGGAGCGCTTGGGCCAAATGCTTCAGGTTGCCCTTGCCTTCGGCGACCGACTTCACCTCAGCTCAGAGGAAGACAAGAAAAGACGGCGCGTCAAAAACCGTGGGGTGTCAGGCAGAAAACCGCGTGCCCCCCCCCCAAAAAAAAAAAAAAGGAAAGGGAAACTGGTGAACCTCCTGTTGGCTTCAAAATGGTTGCACTTGTTGCACAGGTCGTGCCAAAACGTAGAACACTCCCAGCACCTCACTTTTGGCTTCAAAAGAAAACCTGTTGGTTTCCCTTTCATGATTGGAGACAGGCCCAGTTGTAGAATATATATTTTATTGTTTGCTTCACTTTGAGTCGCTGTTAAAATGTAAAATGTATCCTAAGTCTACCCCAGCTTTCCACCTTGCAGCCGGCACGCCTCCCGCTGGAGCCTCTCCAGTGCGGCTCCGCCACCTCCGGCGGCTTCGCGCGCCATCAGCGCCGCGAGGTTTTGGGCCGTGGCGGTGATGGCGCTGAAGATGGCGTCGCGGCCGCGGACCGGGCGCAGAGACCCTGAATGGCCCGAAGGGGAAAACAGAAATGGATCCAGTCATAGGTGTCCTTTTGGTTGAAAATCGATGGTAGATGATGGAACCACCAGGTATACCAGGAATCGCCCTCTATTTTTCAACCAAACCAACCAAAAAGGACACTTATGGCTCCGTTCCTGCTGGTTGGGAACTGGAAAATCTTTTTTGGGCCCGACTCCATGCGGTGTCTTTTTTTGGTTGGTTGGACCCCCGAAGATTGTTGTTTTCCTTGCGGTGTCCCTTCAAAACCACAAAAATGTGGCTTCCCCCTGAAAAAAAAAACGAGCCACCAAAAAAATGGGCAGAGCGCCTATGAAGTCGGAGGTCTCCGTCTGCTGGTGGCAGTTCAGAGTCCGCAGGCGCCTCTCTGGCAGACCTTCCTCCACAAGGGCCCACGAGAGCAGCTGGCACGCCATGGTCTTTCCTCCCCCCGTCTCCTGGGTTTAAGCCAAACTCCCCTGCGCCAAAAAAGAAAACAAGAAGAAAGAAAATGGGTGGCCCGTCTCAAATTCGGGACCTCCCATCCTTTTCATTTGGACCATTCCTTTTACAGGGACCGTCAGGTTTTCCATGTTTCGGCTCCAAGTGTCTCCCACCAGCAGGGCCGGCTCCCCGGCTCGCACGCAGCGGCCGATCAGGGCCACCATGCGGCAGAAGGCGGGCGTCCAGACCACCTGCCCCAGGCCACCGGGGACCTGCTCCCCCGCCTGCAGCTTCTGCTCCACCCGCGCCCGCGCGTCCGTGACCACGGCGTCCTGCGTGTAGTCCACCTGGCGCTTGGGCGCCTCTTGCTGGGGCACCGTCCATTTCCGTTCTGAACACAGGGAAGCTTCTAGAAAACCTCCGGAAACCCGGGGGAAAATGGCTGGTGTTTGAGAAGAACGATGGTTGAAAGAATGGGGAATCAACCCCTTTGGTTTCAACCACGTCCCTTTGCTCTTTTCCCCCACCAAGAAGGGGCCAGGAACTGATTCCTTTGACCAAAATGTTGGCCCAACTCTGGAATAAACCGTTTTGGACCCCAAAAAAAAATGTTTGAAGGGATGGAATTCGTTAGGGGGGGGGTCCCTCATTCCCGCCCCGCCCACCCCGCCCCCTGCCTGCAAGTCTTTCACCCCAGCGCAATGCTTCTGCAAGGACGTGCGCACCACCTCCCGCTCTTCCTTCTTGCGCAACCTCTCAGCCAGCAAGGCCCAACCTTCAGGGCCGCAAAGGGAGGGATGCAGCGATTTTAAGCCAGGGTGGTGGGAAGTGTCCAACTTCTGGAGGAGGTTTCTTGGTATCGCAGAAGTGGGGTCAAACCCCTTATTCCCCGGCGCAACAAACCAAAGAAAATTCCAGTTGCCTCCAGGGCAGAAAGGGATTCAGCGATATAAGCCCCCCTGTTGGCTTCCCCTCGACAGAGGCAGAGGGCTTGCTTTTCTATTCAAGCCAGGGTTGTGGGAGTTGTCCAAAACCAAAGGAAAACGCCTTCCCAATGACTGATCCTCCGCTTGAGCAGGGAGGTTTCTTGGTATCACAGGTGGGGGGAGCCCCTTATTCCCACAACCCAGATTCCAGCCCCCTTTTGCAACAAACCAAAGAACCTTCCCCTTGACCGAGGCCGAGGCCTTTGGCTTGCTTTTCTTTCCCAGCAGTCTTGGGCAGATGCAACCGTTTGCTTGAATCATGGGCTTCAACCTGCACAGAGGCCAGGCTCTTGTTGCTCTTTCTCCCAGGGGTCTGGTTGCCAGTATCCAAGTCACCCCTCCCAAAAAGGGGGGGAAACCGCTCCTGTTTCTGAAAAACGCCCAAGAAACGGTCCAAAATCCATGCCCCCAGGTCTGTCCTTGATTGTTGTAGGGGTACCTTCCCCATTCTTTCCAGGGATCCTTCTTTCTAGAAAACCACCTTGAAAACCCTGGGGAAACGGATCCGGTTTTCGCAAAGAACGATGGCTGAGAAGACTGGAATTGGAATCAACCCCTAGTGTCTATTTCTGAAAAAGGCCCCCAAGAAACGGTCCCAAATCCATGCCCCCAGGTCCTTGAAACTGTTGCCCCCCCTTTTGGCGCCCCATGCCTTCCACCGCCAGCTCCAGATACGAGTTCGGCTTCCGGTGCCCCCAGCGCAGCAGGTCGCGGACCGTCATGAAGCTCTGCTTCCCCAAGAACACGGCGCTCTGATTCCTCGGCCATGCTGCGCCTCCATTTGGGCTTGGCCTTTTTTGAAGGCGCCCCGTTTTGGTTGGCTTTCAGAGGAAACCAAAAAGGAACGCCTTCTTTCTTCTTCTTATTTTTCTTTCCAAAAAAGACCAACTCTTCCACTCCCAACTGGTGTGGGGCGAGGATTTTCTCCCTCGGGCACCTCCCCTCCCAAAAAAAACAAGAGACAGGCGATTCGTCCAAGACCAGACTTTCCAGGGGCCGATTTCTGTGAGTTTCCATCTTCATCTTGGGTCAAAATGAAGCCGCCAGACCAGGCAGGTTTTCGTCTTCGTGTCTATTTACTAGGAGACCCCATGTGGCATTTTGGGGTTACCCAATACTTGGCCCACACCCATGAGGGCGGAGATGGTTTTGAGGGCGGAGATGGTTTGTTTCCAATTGACATCCAGACTCCGGTGGGATTGCAGGTCTGCATACACCGCCAGCATGACTTTGACGTAGGACGGCGGCACCTGGCCAAGCCAATTTCACGTGTAACTCGTAACATCAACTCAGCTTGCCAGGACCCAATGCACTTGGCACCTCCCACATGTTTGCCACTGTCCCTTTCAAACCCAAAGGAAAAAGAGACACACCTTGCCAAGGTTTGCACTAAAAAAAAAGAGACATTTGGGTGTGGGTCAAAAAGACGTACCCTGAATGGCTTGCCCTGGCAAATGGAAACAAAGACTTAACCCTGCGGTTATCCGGTGGTTTAATTTTGACCCACGCCCAGTTTTTCCTTGGCAACACCCTTTTTTGCAGTCTATTTTGGTAGGGGAACCCTCCCTCCCAGCGGGCACCTAGCTGTGGGACCTAGTTTCCTTGTCAATGGCAACCGTTGGCACCCATAGGTGGCCTTTTGGAAAAATAGATGGGATTCCCTGGTAAATGGAGCAAAACCCATCTAACCCAGTGGAACCCATCTATTTTTAACCAAACTCACCGATCAAAAGGACGCCTATGTTTGCACCTGGCATCTCTTGTGCAGCACTACGGCCAACTCCTCCATGGGCAGCTCGCTCACGAAGAGCTCCGTGAACCGATTCCGGAAGGCCCTTGAGAGCGACTTCCGGCCCCCATAGTTGGCGCCCGCCGGGTTCTGCGTGGCGAAGACCTCAGTGAAATGACACGGAAGACGCACTGGTCTGGAGCAAATACGGCAACAACACCAAGAAGGTTCAAACAAACAAACAAACAGACAGACAGACAGACAAACAAACAAACAGACAGACACGAACACTTATCAACCGGCCAGTGAGTCAGCCAATCAACCAACTAACCGAGCGACTGACCAATTGGCCAAACGACCGGCCGACGGACCAGCACTCCAAACCAATCCTCCAAACAGCCAATCCACCCACCCACCCACCCACCCACACCCACCCACCCACACCCGCCCACCCACCCACCAACCAACCAACCAACCCAACCAACCAAGCGACCAGCCAAACAGCACCAGGGGTGCGGTTCTATCTGCCCAAAGGGCCATAAACTCCTCGTGAGGCTTCACCGTGTTCCCAGTATCCGGGATGTAGAGCTCACGGTTGTCGTCCAGCAGACGATTCAGCGCCTCTCCAACCGAGGGGTATGAAAATTTAGCAGGCCCTTTGGTGGACATCAAAATTCGGTGGAGGTGGCCAACGAAAAACGAAAACTAACGGGACCTTCTGGTTTCTTGTGGGATCCGAGTTAGTAGTAGGGGTTGTGGAACAAGGGGAATAACCCGTACGTCAAACCACAGGTTCAAATATGACACATGCTCAAACTCTTGTGCCATACCAACTCCTGATCTGTAAACCCTAAAACCTAAAAACCTAAGGGGACGGCTGGGAACTGCCAGGTTATGTGGGCCATCATGGTTCCCTCGATAGCATGATTCTGCTTCCCGGAAGCCTATGATCATCTCTACCAGCAAAGGGGTCATTTGACAGCACAGATTGTCTCTCTGCCGCGACTTGGTTTCTGCAAACCGATCTCTTCAAGCCATTCCCAAGCTTCTCAAGCTGTCCCTCCTTCAAGAAAAGCCATTCCGCAGAAGACGGGCCTGGTGGTTCCAAGTGTCTTCCCTCAACGAGTTCGGATCCCACTTTTCAAATGCCAGGTTCGGATCGGCCATGGTGCGATTCTCGCGCGCGAGGAAGCTGCGGTGAAACGAGATCCCTGATTCTCCCTCTGCGTCGTCTCTGAGTTGGTACCCTTTGCTTGGTGTTGATTTCTCAGGCAAAACAAACATACTCAAGGGAAACCAGACCAACAAACAAGCGCCCTTTTGGGGGAACCAACCGCTCTTTCTAAGGAAACCCGGCAAACAACCGCACTTTTGGGGGGGAAAGGGAGCTGCACGAAATCTGTGGGAGTCAGAAGCCCCAAATCGCCTCCAGCCACAGGTGTCCCTTCAGGGTAAATAGGCCTGGTAGATGAGAAAAAACCACCAGGTAAACCAGGAATCGCCCTCTACTTTTCTACCGAAACAACCAAAAACGACACCTATGACCGGAATACTCCCCTGCAAATAAATATGACACCCAAAACGCACTTTTGGTGGGGGGCGGGACCTCGAGCTCCGTGACTTTCCGTGGGAGTCAGAAGCCCCAAATGGCTGCGGGTCACAAATAGGTTCACCCCAAAATGGCTTCTCCCCTGGTAAATGGAAACATCGACTAAGACCTGCGTGTTGTTTTTTGGTGGTTGAATTTTGACCCACGCCCAGTTTTTCCTTGGCAACACCCTTTTTTGCAGTCTATTTTGGTAGGGGAACTGGTGGAAAGGGAGCTGGTGGCGGAATTTTGACCCCCCCCAACTCGATGGCCTCCAGCACTTCGCTGGGCGCCAAGTTGAGCTCGTCCAGCACCACCCAGTGCCCCGCCCGCGCCGCGCGCACCAGCACGCCTTCCTGGCGACTTGTGACTGGTCAACCATAGGTCTCCTTGGTGGAAACAGGCTGGTAAACCACCAGGTCTCCTTTTTGGTGGATTTCTTCCAGGCTTTTTAACAGCCTGTGACCACAACTTGGTACTGTTGGTGCTTATCTTCTTTTTGGCTTTTTAACAGCCTGTGACCTTTTTGGTGAGCTGGTTGACCTGGTGGTTCAATCCTCTACCAAGGTTATCGACTGTCAACCAAAAAGGACGCCTACTGCGGATGGAAAAGTGAAATCCGATTCGCACCACGAAAGGAAGCCATGGTTGAAACCAGAACGTTGGTTGGTATTTACAGGGGGAACTGCATCATAAACCAGGGTTTCTTAGGTGGTGGGGATTTCGTTCATCCACAGTAGGCCTCCTTGTTGGTGAGCTGGTTGTCCTGGTGGTTCAATCCTCTACTAGGTCCTCCAGATTTGAGAGGTTAGAATAAGGGTACCCACTTTTTCTTTTTTGTCTTTTTTAGGGGAACCCTCCCCCAAAAAGGGGTGAGAAAGGGCACTACTGGGGGACCTAGTCTACCAGAGTTATCGACTTTCAGCCAAAAAGGACACCTATGCAATCAACCCCCTGGCTCCTGGGTTGTGGGGGTTCAGCAAGGTTGAAAACCTGGCGCTAGAGTGGTCTACCTCGCCCCCCCCCCCCAAAAAAAAAAAAAAAGACCGCCGAAATTCTCAGCGGCCCAGGCGTGATGTTGAGGACTCTCCCTTTCCCTCCCGTCCCGAGCTTTGTCCGGCCCCGAACTCCGAAACCCCGCGGCATGGTGCAGGGAAACCAAACCCAATGTTCACCGGGCACATGGGCCCGTAACAGGGGAACCCAAGGAAGCCCTGCGCGAAATGTCGAAAAAGAAAGGCTGGACAAATACTGAAATCATATGATTTGGTAGTTACCAATTCTCTTATTATCGTACATGAAAAACGACTATCCCATTATTTCCTTTCTGTTTCTTGAGTACAGCTTGCATGTTGTATTACATTACGTATCTTATCTGGTACACTTCTTTTGATGTTGGGTGATCTTCATTCTAATAAACTTTTCTTTGATCTAATATTTGGAGGATATCCTATATTTTAGCAATATTATTTTGCTTTTTTGGGCATCCAAAAGTTTACATCTGATGATCTTCATAATCCTTGCATGTGGGATCATGTCCATAATAATTTCTGGGAGTATACAGTTAATAGTCTTTGCTAAGCAATCAATAATCTTTGCCATGTCATCTATTTCTCTTCTTGGAAGTCTTGTTTGCTGTAGGTTTAGAAAGTGATGCAAGAGCTTGTTTTACAGGAGTTACAATCTTAATATCTTCACCAACTGGTACAAAAAAATGGCTTTTTACATATCTCTCCAATCCATCTTTATTACACCTTAGAATTACGTCTGTCTTTTTCTTTCTTCTGTATTGAGCTATAATTGCTTCTCTCTGGAATATAATATTCAATGAAGAAAATATTGTTGGTGCTAAGAATAACGATTTAGGCCCTTGACGTACACAGCCCTTGGAGCTTGGTCATCGCTCTTTGCGAGGCTCGGAATGCTAAACCCCCTCCTGGAACACCAGCTGCCCTGTGTCCGGGTCGCACACGTACTGGCCCACGTACTCCTGTGGCAAAGAGCGGGGAAGGTCGTACTGAAAGGGCCGAAGCCTGGTTCTAACCCAAAGCCATGGCGATAAGTCTCCGAGTGGGAAAAACCGAATTTACGAACCACTTACCTGATGTACCGAATCGATCGCCCCTTGAAGGAGGGTTGCCAGCCAGGCGCGGGTCTTAGGGGTTTGCCAGCCCCCTCTCAAGCTGCAGCTCATCTTTTCGCGCAGCAACCTGAACTGCCTACCCAACTCCCCAACCCAACAACCCAACCAAACGAGCCAGCAAAAAACACGCCAGGAAAAACCGAGAAAGAAGAAAACACAGATGGTCACCCCAACAACCCAACCAAACGAGCCAGCAAAAAACACGCCAGGAAAAACCGAGAAAGAAGAAAACACAGATGGTCACCCCAACAACCCAACCAAACGAGCCAGCAACAACCACGCCAGGAGAAACCGACTCGGAAAACACAGATGGTCGCCCCAAGAATCCAAACAAACGAGCCAACAAAAAAACACCACGCCCAGAAAACACGAGGAAGAAAGAAGCAGACAGATCCCTCGCATCCTCCCAACAACCCAACCAAACGAAGCAAAACCCATGCACAAAAAAACCGGAGGCAAAACACAGATGGTCTCGCGTCCTGCAGGTCCGTATGCTCGTGGTTGTTGATGCGCACGAACTCGTGGCCCGTCAGTTTCGCGAGGAACTTCACCAAAGAAGTCTTCCCCGCGGAGGTGGGGCCCTCCAGTAGGATGGGGAACCGCCCCCCGCTCAGCATCCGCGCGATGTTCTGCAGGTTCCGCCTGGAATCCCGGAGATCCCGGAATCCCCGTCCGCCGCGGGGGACAAAGACCGGAACGCTGTATGTTTTTGTTGGGATCAAGGGGAAACCACGGCAACCGGCAACCGCGCGTTTTGAGGGCTCCTCCAGTTGGTGACAAATTCAAATGTGGCAGTTCAACTGGTGTAAATGCGGCAATACCCCAGTTGCAACGCGGAAGAAGACAGGGTGTTTTCCCAAAGGCAAGTAGTTTGAGCACTTCTTTTGAGAAATCGGTGCCTTTTTTGAGGGTACCCTTTTTGGAGTGATTTTACAGAACACCAAAAAGGAAACCAGCTATTTGTTGGTCCTAAAAAAAAGACGAGTGAGCCACCCAAATGAACCTTAGGGAGAACGCTCCATTTTGCCCGCCCGACCCTGTGCCTCACCGAGGTGGTGATCACGAAATCCTGGTGGGCGGCACCAATGTCCACCTTCTGCGGACCGGCCTCGCGCGATGTTCGTTTCGCCGCTCTGCTCATTGCTCGTTTTAGCCAAACACGGGGTCATCTTTGCAGCGGCAGCTTGGCAGCTGCCATCTTTGGTGGGCCTTGGGCGCACTGACCACTTTACCCTGTCCGGGATAAAGCGTTGCGAGCCTTTGCCAGCGGCATTGTTGTCTCCTCTAATCTTAACCCCAGATTCATAAACCCCTGGTTGATTAGGGGGGTTGTCCCCTTGTAGTGGTTGGATTCAGACCACTTCTGGAGGGAACACCCTACTGGGACGGGTTCCACTTAGATGGGTCCCCCAGCCTTGATCCAGTAGCCTTCCACGTTGATCCAGCCCTGGTCAGCGTCCATTTTCACCGCCGCGGTGGAGGACGCGCCATCCTGCGAGCGGGCAAGCTTCAGACACGGCCGTCTCCCCCGATTCCGTGGACGCCTTGGCGATCCCTCAAAAGGAGCACAAAATGACGCTGGTCCGAAAAGGGGGGTCCCAATCTTGGCAAAAAGAGTTGATTGGTCTGTTGTTCGATGCGGTTTGGGAAAACCAACCTCGGAGCTGCAGCCTCATTTGGCCTTCTTCAGCCACGGTACCCCTTTTTTTATTCTTCTTCTTTTCTTCGCCAAAGGAAACCAGCCTTTTGTGTGTGTTTTTTTTCTTGGGGGGGTGGGGGGGGGGGTCCAACTAAAACAAAAAACGAGCCACCCATATTTCTAGGGGCTGACTCCCCATTCTTTTCAGCCATCGCTCTTTTCAATAGCCAGATCCATTTCCCAAGGGTTTTGGGTGGTTTTCTAGAAAGAAGGATCGCTGGAAAGAATGGAGAAGTTACCCCTAGAATATTAACCCCTGGGTGCTTTTGGGCCGGTGGGACCCTCCATGGAAGAAAGGCCTGCAACGACCTTGGGTCGTAGTTGTTGTTCCGCCTGGACCTCATTGAGCAATCTAGAGAAAGCATGGCTTGCTTTTGTCCAGTTTCGCGGGTCCTTTGAAAGATATGAGTTGCTTAGATTTCATGGCAGCGAACAAAAAACATGGATCGAGTTTTGTCCTTGAAAGAGAGAGTAAATACCACTCAACAGCAAAACACTGACATAGTGGCCCTCTGTTGTAAGCCCCAAATGAGGCACAATCAAAACTGGTACTAAAATGGTCTACCCGGAACCACGTAATGAATCAGGAAGGCGGCTGCACCCATAAATTGGCTGGGATTATCCCCTTACTAATCTTCGCCTACCCTGGCTTTGATTGTGGCTCAATTTGGCTGTGGCTCGAAAACGTGGCACCAAGATGGCACCACAAGGGAAATGGAAAAGACTCAAACCCGCGGAAACTTTAGCTCTTGGATTTTCAGCCATGCCCAAATCCCTCCCAAAAAAGCAGGCGGGCTTTTTGTGGGGCTTAAGTTGGGGAGACCATTTCAGCCACCATTTCAGCCTCTGGGATGAGTTCCCCGACTCTCTCCGCCCCGACCCTGGCCTTTGCCCCGAGCACGGGCGAGACTCCTAGCGCCTGCGACGAGAGCAGCAAAAAAGCTCCAATGCAACGACCAAACCGCCGGGCTTGCTTTTTGACAGCCCCCTTCAAAGCCATCCACAGAGGAGGTCCAAGCTAACAACAAAGTCCTCAAACTCAACCCTGGCGACAGCACCCTCAAAGTTGTACCTCAAGTCTCTCAACTCCTCCAGGTGCGGCGACCGGATTTGGCGCTTTTGGGCAGCGCCATCGTTTTCTCACCGCGCCTCTTTGATCATGTCCTCAACCACTTTGGAGGACCCCAGATCCAAGGTGGTCGCCTCGGAGCCGCGCACAGCGTCCCGAGCTGGGAGTTCCCAGCTGAGTGCAACGAAAATTGCGGATGCCCTCTCTGCAACAATGCAAAGTGGAGAAGAGGGTTTTGAACAAACAGCCTTGCCAAGGCCGTCTGTCTACATGAGTCTTGGAAGTGAAGAGATTCGTCATTGTCTATTTGCAAAAATGGAAGAGAAGAGGGTACTGTTTCTATGTGGTTGTAAAAGGGATACCAACAGGACACCCGCATTCCTGTGAGGGTTCAACCTAAATTTGAGCCACCCCAATGTGATAGACACCTCCCCTTGAAGACTAAAAGCTTCAGGGCTCCCTAAAGCAGCCTTCATGGAAATCTAAAACCTCCTAGTTGAGGTTGCTACTGTAGCCTGCCCACCCATCTTTCCTGAAGCCATCAAGGACACCCCAAGCCCGAGGCTGCATTGTACTTCGGCCGAGTCAAAACTTCTACCAGACCTGTGCACTTTGATCGGAGACTTCTGCCAGTGGTGCGCAGGCTTCACATGGCTCATCTATTTTGCTTCGCATGGCTCGTCAGGGTCGCAATCAAAACCTGGTACTAAAATGGTCGGAATCCCAGAACCATGTAAAGCTGGCCTTTCACACTGGTTTGCTCATCTCTTGAGCCATCATCAAAACCGATCAGTGCAAAAATGGTCGAAATCCCTGAACCATGCAAGGAACGCGGCGAAGGCAACTCTTTCCAGCTTGGACTGCATATTTGCTATCCTTCATCTACCTGGGTTTTGATTGTGACTCAGAATAGGACATGGGAAAATTGTGTGGGCAGGCGGACACTTCTGACAGAGAGTTGCAAGTGCCAAACTGATAATATGTTGTTCGCTTGGGGCCGGCCTACAGAATCTGGGTTTGCACCAAAGGCGTAAACCTGTTCCGCATTTTGAAAGTCAAAGAGCTGACTGCAGGTGAGTGAGCGGGGACCCCTGGAGTTGGCTGTGGTGGTCAAACCCCGGTGAACATCCAGATAGGTGGCAAATGGATGTTAAATGGATGTTCCACCCCATTTTTTGGGATCGCTATAGGTTACCCATGGCCAGTTCTCCTTTCCAAAACACCCAAAACCTGGACCCACCTCCCTCGGCTGGGGGCAGAAAGGCCTCCGGGTGCCCGGGCGAAGCCCACCGCGAGGCCCTGCGCGAGCGCCTGCTTGGCCGGCAAGGCGTGGTGCCTGGGCGAGGCGGAAAGAGGCGGCGTGCGGCTTGAGGGGGAAAACACGGGAAGAGGAGGCGTGGCCATGTGCAATGAATGAACCTGAGTTGGATGAATGCCCGAAAAGAAAAAGACACCTGGGGGAAACCATAGCCCAGTTCCAGGTGCGAAATGAACCTCGTTCACCTCCATGTGCGGTTTCGCGGACAAAGTGAGAAAATATGTCCAGTAGTTCCCCAACAAAAAGGGAAACGAGCAATACTCTTAAGCATTCGGGAGATTTTGCAGATCACTGCTGCACAATCAAGGGTGCGTGAGTAAAAAGAGGCCAGGTTGTTGGCAGGACAAATAGGTTGCTTTTGGTTTCCCTTAAACCAACCTGAAGAAAATGGTGGTTGTTGTTGTTGGTTTCTGTTTCCAGAGAAATGGTGGCTCTGGGTTTCCCTTCAAACCGACCGGAATATGGTGGACCCTCAACAAGCACACGCACACGCAAGCACACAAACACACACACACACACACACACACACACACACACACACACACACACACACACACACACACACACACACACACACACACACACACACACACACACACACACACACACACACACACACCACACACACACACACACACACACACACACACACACACACACACTTAAACTCCAGATGGAGGGTGCTAATCTTTCGAGTACAACTGATGAGTCTCGAGTACAACTGATGAGTCTCGAGTGGGTGTAAGGTTCGGCTCGCAATCACTTGGCTTCCTCTAGTGTCGAAAACGTTACAAGTTCAACATGAAGCACACACAGCGCCGCAACCAAGGGCCAAAAGGATTTGCATCACACAAATGCACAGGTACACGGGTGATCAATCCGATATCACACCATCAAGGCCTTCGCGTTTGCTTGATGGCCGCTGGCCCCCTGCTACTCATAGTGGTGACAGGGCATTCTGTCACTCCGCACACACACGCCCCTCAGTGAGGGGCGAGAAGTCTCTTTTTCAGCAGGAAGATCACATGCTCAACTTTGTGTCCCTATCGTTTACCAAAATATCCACCGCGGCGAGGGGAACGCGAAACTGCCCTAAGCCGCTCAGAAGACGGGAGCGAAAGATCACCACGATGAGCATTACGAGTGTCGCCATAGAAGACTGGAGGGAATTGCAAAGCAGTCGAGCGATCACCGTCAGAAATAGGGGGAGCATAGGTGAACATTTCCTCGACTCGGATTGCATCGGAATTCTGCACATCAACAAGTGATTGATCACGGGCATGATGTGTAGAGAAGGACTCCCTGCGAGACAGAATGCGTTGGTATCCTTGATGCTGCCAGTCGCGAATGGTCCATGCCTGACTGTGTTCACCAGTCCCACCACTGGGATCATCTACCCGCTTCCACTCCCGAAACGAGTTGTCTGGTAGATCAGGTACGGTTTCTCCTGGTTGCCATAGTTGAGGCTGTCCCGGAGTATAGATCCGCACCCACTCCTGATCCTGCCAGACCGAGTATTCGAGCCATGGGTACTGCTTCGCATCCTCGATGTCCATGCCGAAGTGAGAGACAGGACGTACCGCGGGTTCAGATCCAGCTAGTAAAGAAACAGTCACCATGCACAACCATGCACAATCAGCAACCAAGCAAGGCAGCACAAGCATGAAAATCACCCTTTTTTGTACCATGCCCAACACGCATCAGTCTAGTCATCATTTAGCTCGAAGATAGGCTTCACCTTGGCGGTGGGGCTGCATGATTGTGTCGTAGGCAGGTATGGAGCAGAGACCCAAATAGACTCTGGTGGTGCAATTCCACTGGTTGGTGTTGTTGGGATGCTTGACGCGCGCGATCCGACAGTTGTTGAGAGATCCCATCTTGAAGACGAGTCAGACCCTCAGTGGAGAAAGCCGCCGCATCCGAGGATCTAAGAATCGCATCCAACATTGGCGGTGACATACACAATGCCGAGGATTGCGTGGCCACGGTATGTTGATCAGGAAAAGACATCGAGTCGAGGTCATGACCAGCTTGAGGGGCAGCGACTCGCCGATAGCCCTCTGTGGCCCAGTCTCTTTTGTACCAAATGCTGACATTGGGCTGCGCACCTTCTTGATCAGGATTTGGGACATAGAACTCCTTCCACTCTCTGTATGTGTGAGGCGGAGGTGGAGCATCATGTTCTTCCTGTGGAGTCCATGATCCCGGATGAAAGATCTTGACCCACTGGGCATCTGGTTGTTGAGGATCCGGACACCACTCCAGCCACGGCATGACAACTCAAACCCTTGATGACAGATTGATAAGCGTACGGCTGCAGACAGCTATTGCGACATGTGACACAACATCAAACATGCAAGCAAACACTTTTGTAGCAAGGCGCGGCTCAGGTGTCGAAGTCACTCGCCCCAATCAAATTGAATTGAATATCCAGAAAAGACGAGGACGAGCATCAGCCACCATCTGAGTTCGAGGATGCCGACGAAGAGGTCAGTCCAGCGTACATGAGGTCTGGTGATCCCGAAGTGAAAACTGGACGTGCAATGTTGGGGTGCGGATGGCCGAGCCGTTGATATCCTCTGTACTGCCATGTATAGAAGGACGCATATGAGACCGGCTGAGAAACAGAGCCCATATTGGTGCCGCCCGTGCTGTCCCTAGGCCAGTACACGTCGAAGTGGTAGACTTTGCGCCATTCCCGATAGGTGGTTGAGTCCTCCGGGGCAGGTCCCAAGGTGTTTTCGGCAACTGGATGCCACGGACCAGGTACATAGACCCGAATCCATTCAACGCTTGTGCTCGCAGGGCCATTGACGATGTCGTACTCAAAGTAGCGTGGCAGGGTCCATCTTGCAGCGCCATATATTGTAGAATTAAACATATCAACCAGGGTAGCCGCTCGGGTTCAAAAGGGTGAAGCGGCGAAAACATGGAGACGGAAAGCACAACACAATCCAAGACAACCCAACTTGATGCCGCAGTCAACTCAGGCACACTCGCATCATTTTAACCGACATGCTGCTCAAGTATCAATCCGAATCGTTCCAAGGATCATAGAATGGTGGTGGTGAAGGTTCCCGCCGCGCCCCATCCGGAACTGATGACTCCAACGAGGAAGTAGCTTCTACATTCTCGAGCGCCGCCGATCCAATAGCTGGTAGAGGAAAGCCAAGGCGTTGATAACCTCGTGTTTCCCAGTCTCGATACTCCCACACGTGGTAGGACACATACGAACTGGGCGTGACATTGGGGTCCGCAGCTGTTCCTCCAGTACTGTCTTCGGGCAAGTACACGTCAAAGTGATATGACTTGCGCCACTCCCGATACGTGGAAGCGTAGATTGGGGCACGATCCAGAGTACCACGTGCCCGGTGTGTAAATTCGAATCCATTCCACTCCTCTCTCGATGTGGTACTCGAAATAGTGAGGGTTCATAGCGGCAAGACAGGTCGCCGCGGGCCCGTTGAAAGAAATCGTGAATCCACTGAATCTGCGGCGAAGACACTCATGCCATGACAACCTGACGCAACGAGAGTGTGTTGAACAACGCAATGCAAAGCAACTTTTCAAACTGAAGGCAGGACAAATCCACAAGGTCTATAGTGTACGACACCTATGCTTCACCGCCGCTGATGCCGCACACACCTGCAATGGTAATGTCCTGGTCGGCGACGAGCACAGGGAGAAAGACACTTCCGTCCATGACGTAGAAAGGCATGACAGTAATGCTTGCAACTTGTCAATGGGGACAGCGATGGACGGGTGTCTCGTTTCGAAGGGAACACGGTGAAGGGTCGCCGGGATCTCCGCGGTGCAGAAGCGGATGCTGTTCGAGAGCGTTTCGGTGAACGCCTAAGACTGCGTAGATCATCATCACGGGACTGGTCAGTACTGCATAGCGAGCGGCGTGTGCGCTGCGATTTCACTGTGGCAGGGCAGGATTGTCCTCGAGGAGAAGGGGTTGAGGAGGCACGCAATGAGGGCATAAACTGTGGGTGTAGAATCACCGGTGGTGGTGGTGGTGGAGGAGGTGGAGGTGGGAGAAGTATTGGAAACCTTGGCGGGGGCGGAGGTGAAGCAGTCCATCGAACTGGTCTGTCAAGCAAGGTGCCAGGTCCGTGAAACTGTAACCACGTCGGCTGCGCTCCATGGGTCCAAGTAATGTATGTCTGCACATCTTGCTCCGACATGATTTGAGCAGCTCAGCCATGCATGAAATCCAAGTCATCAACAACATCCACGACAGCAAACAATATTGTCACTGGTAGAAATGTCAAGTAGGTCCATCAAGTCATTACTGCAAAGCATGCCAGCCATGTCATGCAAACAAGCAAGGAAAGAATCATGCGATCTGCCATGACTGTAATCCAAACCATCACGAAACATGCAACGCTCACAGAATGCACTGCCACGTCCTACAGGCTAGTCCTCCGGTAGTCACTGGTTCTTTCGATGCTCAGTGCCCTAAGCGCGAGCCGCAAGTTGCTGGTAGACCTTCCAGGCCTGCTTGACTTCCTCAATGGGCTTCTGAAGGAAACGGGCAATGGTTTTGTAGGTGGGCCTGGAATCCTTGTCCTTTTTCCGTCTGACCATCTCATCCAGCTCACCTTGTGTCCACGCCGTAAAAGGTTCACGATGTGCATTGCGAAGGGCAATAGTGAATTCTTGTAGAAGTTCCCGAGGTCCATGAACCACTGTGGGAGATGGACGGAACGATGAAGCATCTGGATGTGGACGAACTGAACCATCCGAATCCGAATCAGGTGTGGTAGGCGATGTCTGTCCTGGTTCGCGTCCACTGTGTGGGGGTAGGGGAGCAAGAGGCCTTGGCGGTGGCAACCGATCCAACATTGACTCTGGACGGCGACCAGAAATGCTGCCAGCGGCATCTCGATGTGCCGCCCGAGGCGGGGATAAGGCCGGTATATACCAGGTGGAGGAAGTATCCAGAGGCCGGGTTCGAATTCGAGTAGGAGAGCGAGATCGATCGGACGAGATGCGCTCTGTGATGATGCGAG